ACGGGAAATCGAAATATATTCACCACACTCAAAGAAGGTAAAGGTGGTAAGGTATTTTTTGGTGACAATAATTCTGCCGACATAATAGGAAGAGGAATAGTTGGTTCAGATCCATGCATTGAAAATGTGATGTTAGTAAAAGGTCTTAAGCATAATCTGTTTTTTATTAGTCAAATGTGTGGCAAAGATAAGAGGATAATTTTTGAAAATGATTGTTGCTACATCGAGTCATTGGTGGATACGAAAGTGCTTTTCACCGGTAGACGTAAAAATAAATAATATGTCATAAATCTAGATGATAAAGAAAGTTTTAAGGTAACCTGTCGAATGTCTCTAGAGAAAAATGATCAGATAGATTGGCATAGGAAGCTTGGTCACGTGAGTATAGGAATTCTGTCTAAACTAAGTGACCTTGAGCTAGTTAAAGGTCTTCCTAAGTTAAAAAGCAAGAAGGAATTCTTTTGTGATGCGTGTGCTAAAGGAAAGCATACAAGGTCTAGCTTCAAGAGTAAGACGGTAATATCCACAACAAGACCTCTTGAATTACTTCATCTTGATCTCTTCGGACCTACCAATGTGGTAAGCTATGGAGGTAAGTCTTATGCTTTCGTAATAGTGGATGACTATTCTCGTTTCACTTGGGTATTGTTTCTAGCTAGCAAAAGTGAAGCTTTTCAAAATTTTGAGTCTCTAACTAGGAAATTGGAAAATGAAAAACAATTTAAGGTTGCTAGCATTAGAAGTGATCATGGTGGAGAATTTATCTTAGAAGAGTTTGAACTCTACTGCAATAAGCTATGAATAAGTCACAACTTTTCTGCTCCTTGAACTCCGCAACAAAATGGAGTGGTGGAAAGGAAAAATCGGACTTTGATTGACATAGCTCGAACAATGTTACATGACTATGGTTTGCCTAAGTACCTCTGGGCTGAAGCCATAAATACTGCATGCTATATTACTAATCGAGCTTTGATCAGATCTGGAATTAAGAAGACTCCTTATGAGATTTGGAGAGGAAGAAAACCCAATCTGAGTTACTTCCATCCCTTTGGTGGCAAGTGCTTTGCATTAAATACCAAAGATCATCTTGGGAAGTTTGATGCCAAGTCCGATGAATGTGTGTTTTTAGGCTATTTCATGACTAGCAGAGCACATAGAATATTCAACAAAAGGACTCTCAAAGTGGAAGAGTCCATAAATGTGATATTTGATGAATCTGCTAATGAGTGTTCAGATGAGATAGATGAAGATGATTTTGGACTTGGTGGGAGCTATGATCTACCAAGGACATCAAACACGGAGAAATCTGAACCCAGAACGATCATATCTGAAGACCAAGATAAAACAGTAAGTACTACAAACTCTCTGATGGAGCAAGACCATGAAGTAAGACAACCTCCTCCTCATATTGCCAAACGTCATCCGTCTTCACTTATGATAGGAGGGCTTAATGAAGGTATGGTCACTCGCTCTAGAAATTCAATTGTGCATACTGCTTTTGTGTCATTGGTTGAACCTAAAAACGTGTTAGATGCCTTGAATGATGAAAACTGGAATGCTGCTATGAATGATGAAATGAGTCAGTTTGAACGAGATAATGTGTGGGAGTTAGTACCCAGACCTCCTAATAGAGTTATTATCGGGACTAAGTGGATCTACAAGATCAAGTCAAATGAAAATGGGGTAGCAACTAGAAATAGGGTTAGGTTGGTAGCTAAAGGGTATAATCAAGAAGAGGGAATAGATTTCGATGAAACCTTTGCTCTGGTAGCTAGATTAGAGGCTATTAGAATGTTATGTGCGTTTGCTAGCTCTAAGGGTTTCAAACTTTTTCAAATGGACGTCAAAAGTGCCTTTTTAAATGGAGATTTAAAAGAGGAAGTGTATGTTGAACAACCACCCGGTTTTGAAGACTTTAGATACCCAAACCATGTCTATAAATTAAAGAAGGCACTATATGGTCTTAAACAAGCTCCTCGAGCTTGGTATGAAAAACTTAGCTCTTTTCTTTTAGGAGAAGGTTTTAAAAGGGGTTCAGTGGATAAAACTCTCTTCATAAAAACTAAAGGACAACATTTGCTGCTAGTCCAAATTTATGTTGATGACATTATATTTGGATCCTCCAGCAAAGAGTTGTGCGAATATTTTGAAAATATCATGAAGAGAACCTTTGAAATGAGTGCCATGGGAGAATTAACATATTTTTTGGGTTTGCAAATTAAACAAACAACTCGAGGTTTTTCATTAGTCAAACCAAGTACATTCAAAATATGTTAAAACGTTTTGAATTTGAGAATCTAAAAGCTGCAACTACACCTATGGCCTCTACGATTAAACTAGACAAGGATGAGTCAGGTAAGTCAATTGACAAGAAGTTCTATAGAGGAATGATTGGGTCACTAATGTATCTCACAGCTAGTAGACCCGATATTCAATTTAGTGTGTGTCTATGTGCTAGATTCAAAGTGCTCCTAAGGAAAGTCATCTGACTGCAGTCAAGAGAATCTTTCGTTACTTAGCTGGCACAATGGATCTAGGTCTATGGTATGATAGTGAGTCAAGTCTTGATTTAATTGGGTATAGTGACTCAGACTACGCTGGGTGCATAGTTGATCGTAAAAGTACTTCCGGGACATGTCAATTTCTCGAAAATTCTCTTGTGTCTTGGTTTAGCAAAAAACAAAGCTCTGTTGCTCTATCCAACGCCGAGGCTGAATACGTGGCCGATGGCCTGTGCTGTACTCAACTCCTTTGGATGAAGCATCAACTTTGTGACTACGGGTTAGAAATTAAGTCCATGCCCGTATTGTGTGACAATACGAGTGCCATTAACATGGCAAGAAATCCCGTACAACATTCTCGAACCAAGCACATAGAAATTAGGTATCATTTCATTCGAGAATTGATTGAAGAAGGCCAAATTCAGCTTGAATTCGTGCCTACGACAAATCAATGGGCTGATATCTTTACCAAACCTCTTGGTGTGGATCAATTTCTCGCTATTCGTCGAGAACTTGGTCTTATGCCTTCTAGTGAAATTAATGACTTAAAGTGCAACTAATAGAGGTGTCAAAACTAAAGTTTAGCGGGCCAAAGCCCAGATGGAGTGCTAAGAGGAGGGTCACAGACCCTGTGGGCCGAAGCCCAACTGTCGTTTGACCCTGGTCATTCCTCTGGCAGTTGTAGGAATCCCTCGGAACGCTCTATCCATTCACTGTTTGGATTGGATTCGCATCCCAGGGTCATGGGCCTAAGCCCAAATCTCAACTCTTGAGAATTCTGCGTCTCTGGTACAGCCCCAGGACAGCATCACGAGCTCGACCTTCCTTCTTCTTCCGATTCCTAAATCCCTAGGTTGTCGGGTCGATCGAGTGTCTGCTGTCACAATCCCTAACTATTCTCTTAGTTTGATCGTATTTTCTCATCATCTTCACTCGAATCGTCGAAAAAAAGGGGAAGGGTAAATCTCCCGCCAGCAGATACAGCAGAATCATATCGACTGACCTCTTCATTCCAGTCGAGCAGATTCGAACTTCCTCTTCCTGAAAACTTTCCATTCGTGCCTCCAATCAGTCGGTATAAAACTCGCAATCGGCCATGGGAGTCTTCATCCTAGCATCCTCTTCAAATTTAGCCCCTCCCAAACTCACCATCGACAGCAACAGACCCCACGTTCTGTCGCAGCATGGCTCCGATCAATCCCCTCCTCAATGCCCACCTTGCTCCTGCTGCCATATTTACCAATCGAGGTTTCCGAAACTCGGGGGCCTACTCCAGGTACCTTCGATGCTTCAGCGATCGAGCCCCCCATCCCTCATTCCTCATTCCCCCTACCTCATTCAATCGGTATAGACTGAGGGTTAATGGGTATATCAATGATCTTGGGTGGAGTTCTCTGTTCCAGAATCGCCTCCTTGATCAGTGCCCTGAAGCTGTGAGAATGTTCTATGCGAGTATGCAGTGCGGCCTTGGACGGTATCCGTCGTACTTCACCACCACCGTCTACAATTTCAGTGTGACGGTTACTGCTGATATGCTGGATACTCTGTTGCATCTTCCTCATGATGGGTATCAAGCCGGAACTGCAGAAGACTTTGACAGCTATGGGTTCCACCCCATAGACACGATGTCTTACTTGGCTAGCGATTACGGGAGTCACCAGCTTTCGAGGTTCTCCGTGGAGCGGCTGCCGGATGATCTGAAAGCTCTGCAGTTCTACGTCAGTCACGTGTTCCTCCCTCGCGCTGCTGACCAGGCCGCCACTCTGGACGAATCTGACCTCTGGATTCTGTTTAATGCGAAGACAAGCTGCCCGATCAGCTATGCCTCGCTGATGTTTAATCATATGATTAAATATCGAGAAGAAGAGTGCAGCGGCAAGGTGCCTTTTGGCCCGCAAATCACCCATCTGTTGGCAATCTTATGCCCCGTTTACTTCCCATTTTGTTTTCTGTTTTTTGTTGTGTCAATGAAAATCTGGAATCAAATTGTAAAAAAATGTGTTCACTTAGTAATTTCGTTTTCGTTGGAAGAATCATTTTACACAAATGAGCTAGATGGGAGAAAACGATAATTTCCCGTTTCCTGAATTATGTGGGACGGGTTTGTGCCTGTTTCCTAGCGGAAAAACGACACTGTGCTTAAATGAGCACCCACGTTCGAATCCCACCAGCCGCAATTTTTTTTTCTTTTGTTCCACACTTCCGCTAGCGGAATCCGACGTCGTTTCGCCTTCTCACCTCCCTCCACTTACCTCTCCCTTCAATCTTTTTCCGTGCAAAGCTCCAGCCGGCGACCAAGCTTTCATCCGGCGCTGAGCCTCTTCCCTCCTCCTGCCGACGCCAAGCTTCTTCCCTCTTCTTGGAAACTCGAACGGCGTCGATTTCCATCCCTTATGTGCGTAGTTTCATGAGGCGAAGAGACGATCGAGACCACCACCCCTGCCGCGCCGCCGTCATCTGCCCAGACCACCACCCCTCATCTTCCTCTCATTCCCGCGACGCCATCATCTTTCTTCCTCGCCAGCCCCCGCGCTGCCATCAACGACCAACCAACTCCGGCCCCATCATCGAGAGAGGGCCACTTTACCTTCTTGTTTACCTGGAACCAAAAGCCAAAAGGTCAAGGCTTTTTTAATTGTTTGTTTGGCTAAATTATGGATTAATCTCAACAATGGTGACAGGTATGGATTGTGGTGATATAGGGGGATGAACATGGACGGATTGAAGCACAAGCAATTGCGAATTGTTGTGATGCTTTGTATTTTGTTTATTTGTAGTTTAAAAACTATATAATTCGAATTAAAAATGATGATAATAATTAGGGTTGTATGATACTCAATGAATAAAATTATGATAATCAATTATCAGAAAACAGTAATGAAATAACTAAACAGGTTTTCGTTTTTAAGATTCAGTTTCTGAACTTATAAAAAGTCTCAGCTAAACAAGGTTTTTTCAGGTTTTGTTTTTCAGAAAACGACAACTTCGTTTTCATTTTAGTTTTGTTTTCTGTTGTGACAGCTAACAGAAATGGAATGGCAAGTAAACGGCCCATTAGGGGTCGATCTGCGTGGGAAAATCATCAACCGGGAGGTTCATTCTGACCTGCAAGCTCAGCATGTCCTGCGTCACACCCTCTCGGGGCTTGGACCGCGTAAACTTGCCAAAGTTCAAGGGGGAGACAAAGCTTCCAATTGTGAGTCCAAATCTGAACCAGAAGAAGACGATAGTGATGAGGGTAGCTGGTTAAAGGACACGGCAGCAGTATACACAGCTGGTGGAATCTTCAGGCTTGACAAGGGAAAGGGAATTGCAGAATCTTCGGGAAAGCGCAAGAAGGCTTTGACATTGGAGCATATACAGGAAGGGGTAAGGATGGAAAATGAAGGAAAAAGCCTCCTCCGTGACTTTACCTTGTCACTAAAGGGAAAAGAGGCCAGCTCCTCAGGCAAGAAAGTCAGCAGGGTTTTATTCATACCTTCGGAGGATGAGGAAGTCGATCCATCTGAGTATGCTTCGTCTCCGGAGTACACCTACTAGGACTTTTTTAGATACTTGATTTAGGGGGAGATCCATGGATGAATTAATGGTAGTTGAATGGTTTGGGTCGGTCATTTAGAGTAGAAGTCGGCTGTTTGCCTTCGAGTCATAGTTTGTTATGTCATTTGAGTCTTGTTTGGTTGATTTGAGATTAAGTCTTGCTGAGTATTAGTGTTGAATGTTCTTTGATGATTCTGTTTATGAATAAAATGGACTCCCAGTTATCTTTTTGATCACGTGTTAGTCATTAGTAGTTGGACAGGCTACACCAACGGTTTGTTTAAGTGTGCAGAACCTTGAAGCAGCTTAATATGAACCTTGGACAAGTTTAGGGGGAGAAGCTTGGCCATTAACAAGCTAAGGGGGAGAATGTTAACTGCAGGAGCAGCTTGAAGGCCAAGGCAAAGATTCAAATCACAGATGGAAAAGAGGTGGCTGCCCAAAAACAGTTAAGGCAAGTTCTCGGGCCAAAGGAAGAAAGAATAAGAACTTACCATACATGAAGATCTCAAGGAAATTTGAATTCCCAACAGCTACATTGCACCCTATAAAAGGTGATTTGAAGGAAGAGCAAAACAACCTTTCAAGAGATCAACAAAGCTAGCTAAGACAAAAGGGATTTTGTGAGAGTAGCAAGGTTGATAGGAAAGGGGGTTTTCTCAAAGGGTTCGGGGAGAATTGCTTTGAGGGTTAGTGTTGGGGAAAAACTGGTTTCGAGTTGCTGGGGAAGCAATCCGGGTTTGAGAAGAGAGTGTTTGGTCAATCGAGTTGAGATTGATCAAAGGGTTCTTGGGTAGATAGCTTGTAACGACGAACTTCAACGCAAAATCATAGTGAATCGTCGGAGATCAAACGATCGTGATTCTCCGAACGTGGAGTAGTCAGTATTGGGATCCTCATTCTCCCAATACTGGAAACCACGTAAAAATCGTGTGTTGGGGTTGTTTTCTGTTTTTCATTTTCAATCTGTGTGTGTGCCTCTGCTTGCTTTCTGTTACAGGTCTAACTCTGTAGGGAAACTCGGTTCTTGAGCCACAGGGAAGGCGACAAGCCTGGACAGGGTTGAGGAACTCTCCACACCTGGGTTTGGTCTACCTGAGTTTTCGTTACCTGGGTTTATGCTACTGTTCGTTTAATCTGTTCTTGGTGTTCTTAGTCTAAATTGAGTTACAGGGCTGCCTTTGATCGAATAAGAGAGAAGGGAAATTGGTATGTGTGTGAGGTGATCAGTACTCACCGTTTCATTTGTCTCCTCTGGTTGGGTCGGGCTTAAACTCTATAGTAGGAGCAGTGGGCTTTAAGTTCTCAAAGCCTGTTAGATTAGTAAGCCCGAGTGCTTGTCTGTGTTGAGAAAAGGCGCATTGTTCTGAGTGTTTGATTTTATCAAAACTCTGCCGTTCTGTTCTGTCTTTTAGAGTCTGGGTCGGGGGCTTGAAACCGTGGGCTGGTCTTCCGGGCAAATAACATTAATTTGAGTATTTGGGCTTATAAGCCCATTCGGGCTGGACGGTAGATTCAGAGGATTGATTTCCAATTATTTGTCTAAGTGAGGTTTATACTTGAAGTAATTTGCTTAGCCGAGTAGTTTAGAGTTTAGAGTAGAGGTTAGACAATATACATAATTAGATCAAGGTTTACGAGATAAGAAGCACTAGGTACTTAACGTGCTAGATTAAACATTAATCCTGTCTCTTACCTTCACTTGTGTCCAATGTAGTCAAAATCCCGATTTTAATCTTAAAATCTTACGATTTTACGATCTTACCTATGGGTTCCGATCCTGATTTTAGTGTAAAATCTTTAAACCTTAAAATCCCATAAAATCCAGATTTCAAACTCTAAAATCCATAAAATCTACGATTTCTACGATTTTGTACGATTTCAAGGTTCATATCAATTGGATCAAAATTAGGCCGGTCAAGTTGGGTTATGCCCATGAACCGAGTCAAATTTACTTTCCCCAACCCAACATAATGAACAACACAAACCCAACCTGATAGTTAACCCTCAATTTACTTTCATTCTCTTCCTCGTATCTTCCTCTTTCGCACGTCGGCGCCCAACTCCTTCCATCAACGATATCTTCCACCCTCCCAATTAGCTTGTAGTTTGTTCTCACCACCCTCACAATAATCCAAATCTCCATTACATTGCAAGCTTTTGTTCATCTCCCAATCCTTTAGCACCACTAACCCGACCTTTTATCAATTAAGAAGGGAATGAATCAATCAATGAGTTATCTTTTCAAGATGATGGTAATCAAGGAAATATGGTTAATGGTGAAAGTACTTCAAGTGATCATAAGAGTAATGATATTAGTCCTTAAACAAATAAAAACGATGAGAGTGAGGGTGAGGTTGAGGATGATGACGATGATGTGTAAGTGATGTTAATGTTGATCCTAACAATTAATTAACAGTGATATCTATAATGTTTCAGGTTTCTTATTTGTGTGTTTCTATTATGTACAAGAAAAATATATGGATTAGTTGTGTTTGTTTAGCAAACAAACTTATCTTGGGAAGTAATTATGCTTTATGTGGTTGATTGTTATTCAAGATATGCATTTTTATTACTATCTAGTGTTTTAAGTATTTATTTTAATATAAACCTTAAAATCTTACGATTTTACGATTTTAATCTACGATTTCGATTCTACCTGAGTTTCAATTTTACTTAAAATCTAGATTTTGACTGCATTGCTTGTGTCTAACATTATCATTGAGCTTAAATTATGGTCAAGTTATTTGAAAGACAGGTATAAAGTCTCGCGCTCGACGCAACCAACACAGGGTTTATCCAACAGTTTTGTTCACATAAAGTCGAACTTCAACAAAAGACACTACAGTACTACTGCTTTGAAATGCTTCCTACCATGGAGTACGTACCAAATAGAGAAGATACAAACTATTCAGAGAGGTATTTTCCTGCAAGTAGATGGAAAAAACATGAAGAAGATGACAATAAATAAGCTTAAGTACAGTCTTCATAAGTTCCGCATAAGTTGACGAGAAAAAGCTCAGAGAATTTTGACACCGAACAACTTTGCCAACCAACAAAATGGTACATATTGTAGTCAGAAGACCTACTAGGTTTGGTGAATTACCTGGACAATTCATGACCGATTGGTAAAGTACCCAAAATGAAAGGAAGTATAGCCTAGCCTATTGCAGTATTGCGTACCACAGAAACTATGACAAAACGAACTAATATGGTCGAACTATATCCTTAAAGCTGATTTGTCCACTAGAAGCTAAGTGTCATGGCCCACGACTCTAATCTCCTAACGGGAGATGGTTGTTTCTCCAGCAACTCAGAATTCTTACTCAACACCTGCACATAATAGAACCGTGATACTGTTTCCACATACTTCATTTTCTATCATCTAATTTGTAAACACTGCAAGTCTGCAACTCAATTTTGAGCTAATCATGAGAGTAAGAGGTTTAGGCAAGCACCAAAAGTTCATTTATGCAAGGCACCGTAAGTCCATAACTTCAAACCACGAGGGGAAAAAAAGAGGGGAATGGTCGTCGATTTTTTGCTTGCTTTCTCCAATTTTTTGTTTCTTGTGCCGTGGATTATTGCTAATGGGCCTATACCATTAACAAAGCCCGTTTAGATAAAGTTGAAGTTGGGCTATCTAGCCATAAATGGGGAGAAGTTGGCCATGTAATTTGTAAACGTGGAGGCGGACTACTCCATCCAGGACTGTTCAGATTGTTGGTATAGGGCCCAACCCATTAAGCTAGTAGCTCAATGGCTTTTCCCCTTCCAATTTTCATCTAAAAATCTAGCAACTTTTATTAAAACCTTTCTTTTATAAGCCTTTCTCCGGCCACATTAATTTTATTATTATTAATCATTTGAAATCATAGTTAATCTGGAATCATATATCATGAAGTGAAAAGCGAAAAGATCCCAATGTAATATATTAAACACGTTTGATAACTAGTAACATACTAGTTAGAAGCTTTGCACTATAATAATCGAAACATTTCAGTTTGTGTGTTTGAATCCTAATAACGATTGTTTTTATATTTTCTTATTTTTAATCAACGTTGAGTTTTAAATAGTTAAAGTAATAAAAGCCAACAGAAAAATCAAGGGCAACTTGGATGCTCGAGAATTGAAAAACTATGAAATGGTGAAGTCTAATTTGAAAAAGTGTATAATATATTATAGGCAAAATACATTTGTATATGCAAAAATTTCGCGTTTGTGATAATAATAGTCAACACCAGAGGAGGGAACGGAGCTCTACGGTAGTGGTGGTGGACAGGATTGAAAGTTTCGCCATCAAGATTTAGATTTGAAGATGGGTAGAGCCGAGAGAGAACCCAAAGTGGAATCGATGCAATCAGTAATATTCTAGGGTTGGATTCGAGGTTTTGAATTGGGATTTTGGCGAGGTGATGTTTCGTCTCACTAGAGATTTGAATTAGTGATTCCAGTGAAAGTTGATTTTAGTAGAGGAGGAAAATGAAAGAATGGAGATTTGAAGCGCTTTGCCAATTACCGGAGGCAAACTCATATGAGCTTGAACAAAGATTCGGAGCGAGGCCATCTTGAACGACACCGTGTGGTCATGGATTGGACTCCCCAGGGGATTTCGGGAACCAAAGTGGCAATTTTTATGGGTGGATGTAGGGGTGGGCATGCGGTTCGGTAAACCAAAATCGAACGGACCCGAAACCGAACTACACCAAACCAAAACCGAAATTTTACTTTTCGGTTCGGAATTCAGAAGTCAATCGTTGGGAAAATTTTGGTTTTCTTCATAAAACAAGTCTCTTCGTTACAACTTGAGAACAAGGCCTTTTATAGGCTTTAATCAACTACAAACCAACTAAAACTAGGACTAAAACTAACCTAATTCAACTGGGAAACGAACTAACAAGTAATTCCGCAAAGAACATGGAATCCGAATAGGACTCGCATTTTTGGCAGCTATAGCTGCCATCTTTGGTCCCTTCGATCCTCGCCTTCTCAGCCTAGTCGAGATCACCCAATGCCTGTTCTGGGTTTAGAACAATTCACTCTATCTTTCCCAGCTCGAGT